TTTAACAAAACACCATATATGGTGTGAATCTGTTTTAGTTGTTGAAAAGGAAAAAAAGATCCTTAAACATAAACCTAAAAAGACATGCACATGTACACACACAACAAAATGTTACCTATAATAAATTCAGAATGGTGGAATTATGAGCAGTTTTCACTTTTTTGTACTTTTCTGGATTATCTAATTTTAAAAATGAAAATATTTCACTTTTATAATCTGGAAAACAATACTATAAAGCCATTATAATGCACACTACTATTCCAGGGTAGCAGGACTGTGATGTAAGACTAACTCCTGGAATTACACAAATGTAGTCATTCTTATTGTAGAATGTGAGAACTATAGTGTAGTTGATTAAATAAATCAGTCAAGTCCACCATTAAACCCTAAGCCATTGTTCAACCTCTTCATTAAAGTCATTTCTGATGCTACTAACTAATAATAATGATTTCTTTCTCCTCTAATTCCTGGACAATTCATATTTTATTTTACATAAAGTCTGAAGTCCTCTGCTCCTAATTCAGAATGCCTAGAAGATGGCTGGCTTGGAAGAAGCACAATGTCTTAAAGTAGTAAAAAATTTTACCTAAAAACAAAAAACACACATCCACATCCACAAACAAAAAACAAAAAACTTTACCTACCTTGCTTGACACACACCATCTTTGATGTAATAGCTTAAAAGGTACAAAAGTGCTTTGATGGTAAATGTAATTTCATCATATACAACTGCACAAGGCAAATGTGGGTTTTAATTGCCAAGATAAAAGGGTCTGATTTTAGGAAATAAAAATGACATACACAACCTCTGAGGCTAAGCAATATTCCAGCAAGTTATGAGGCTTTCCCTTACAGCAACAACTTGGTGAGGAATAAAAGGATGTTGCAATGACTTACAAGTCCTAACAGTGTATTTTACATAACAATGCTTAAGGAGAAGCCACTAGCGCTGTTGAGAAGATAGTAAAGACTATTAATCTCTGGTATACAGGCTTCCTACAAAGAAATATGCAATTACAATGCACAAAAAGAGTTATTTTTTTAAAAAAGGTTTTTAATTGATTTTGAGAGAGGAAAGGAGAGACAGAGACAGAGAGAGAAACATCGATGTGAGAGCAACATCGATTGGCTGCCTCCTGTTTTGCCCCTATAGGAGGATCCAGCCCAAAACCCAGGTATGTGCCCTGTTGGGGAAACCGGCAACCCCTCAGTGCACAGAACGACACCCAACCAACTGAGCCACATGGGCCAGGGCCAAGAATTATTTTTAAAAGCAGCTGTTAAGAAACGCATCCTATGGCCCTCAGTAATCATTCAACAATTATTTTCTGTACATCTATTATGTGCCAAGCACTATGCTAGAAGCATTACAGGGAACAGTATAAATAAAAAGACTATGTCCTTGGCCTCACACACAGTTTCTAGCCTAGTGGGTACCCAAAAAATATCTGACAATTCTGTCCCCAAAGCCCTTCTCAATGTCAGTTTTCATTAAATTTTCCTTAACATCCAAACATACTGCAGTTAAAAAGAAAAAAGAAAAAACACACAAAAAGGCAAGAGTTACAGTATACTATAATGTATTATATTAAATGCATTTTATGTGGTTGATTATATTCTTATTTGACATAAATTTTAGAAAGCTTTACACAGTACACATGTAATTAATTATATTGCCTGTGGTATTATTAGACATCAGATGTTCGGATAAACCTATAACCCCAAATTATACCTTTTTTATAGGGGAAAAAAATCAGATTTTATATAGCGATTTGAGTCTTTTTTAAGCCTGCATGTATTGCAAATGAGTGTCAACATCAGTAAGTACTGCATTATATATAATTCTGAATACTGATTAACCACATAAAATAACTTTGGCTGAAGTTCAGAGGTGACTCTAAAGGTTGAAAACCCAAAAGAATACGACACGCCACTATCAGGTGAACCAGAAGCAGCTTTAAATCTATAATCTCTAAAACAAGCTAATGAGTTAGCTCTACCTGTTTTACTGCTTTCTTAACACACATCCAAATAATACGATAGTAAATCTCACTAGTGAAGCTTTCTTCTAGGCCACTTACTAAAAGTTCATAGCAAAGAGAGTGTAAGACTCAGAAGGGGGACCCAGAGCATTTGCTCCCTGGCCTATGTCGTCAGCTTGGCTCAAATGAACTCTTACGAAAAAAAAAAAAAAGAGAGAGACCCAAACTGAGCTACAAACTGTTTTGCCAAATTAAATATATGCAAACACATTTTATAAATGTTGATCATAAATATCAGCACCCACTGCATTATCAACTTTACAAGTTTGTGCTTATAAAACCACATTTTAAAAATAGTCTGCAATATACTAAAGAATGCAGATTCCTTTTCCTCTAATCTGTCCAAACATAATCATTTAAACACAATTTTTTTTTTTAAAAGAAATAGTGAACCTGCATTTTTAAGCAAATGAGCTTAATATTTCACCTGAGTAATTTTTCCAGGCTGATGAGGCTTCTCTCTTGCTTTAACATCATTTAACTTTTATCAAAATATTTCTTTTCCTGACAAGCTATTATATTTGTGTCTTGCTGATGTCTTCATGACTGACTCTAGTAATTAATCCCTTTCTTTGCTCTTTTCCTTTTCTAAACTCTATCCTAAGGAGTATTTATACTAGTTGAGGGCCTATTATTTTTCCTGTTCTTTCCTTATACATCTAGTTTAGCTAAACAGAAAGTACTTTTCTTCTGGCTCTTAGCTATATATAATTATTAAATTTCAAAACTAAAAGACCCTTACAGATAATTTAGTAAAAGGTCCAACTTTACAAAAAAGAGACCAAACCCACTGAAGGAAAAGTGGTATGATCAAGATGACATTATTTTTAAGGTAGATATTGCTAAGTGAAATAAGGTTTGGCAAAAAGAACTTAATGTACTAAACTCAGCAACTAGAATGAATACCTGACATCACATTAAAATAATGAATTTCCTGAATCCTTGGTTTTAAAAGTCTATTTATCATTGATATTTAAAAGTTTCCCTATTCAAATTTGATTTCTAAGAGTTATTTTTTAACTTCTTAAAGCTGAAAATAATCTTACTTATAAAATACCTTAATTGTAAATTAACTCAAACTAGGTTCTTAGTTTGGGGTTTACATTCCTTTCTTTGCAACTCGTAGTATTTTCAGAACAACGATAAATGGAATTCGAGGAGACAAAGGCTATTTATTAGACATTTCCCAGAACGAATCTCAGGAAGTACTCAGTAGTAGCCCTGCTAGAGACAAATGATCGAATGTTACAGCTTTTAACTGAAGACCACAAGATACCTTAACATCAGAGTTATGGAAAAATTAAAGTTCAAGGATCCTATAACCCATATAAAAGAAAAAAACTAACATACTGATTTTATATCTATACTGGAAAACTTAAAAATTTTATAGTGCTGAAATTATTTCTAAAGATAAGATACTGAAAAAAGGATACGCAGAGAAATTAAAAATAGGTGAGTGAATAAATCAAAGGAGGTTTATTTAGATGCTAAAATCAATAACCAGCCCATGTAATTTGGGACTATGATTAAGATACAGTATCTGTCAAGCTACCACAATACACTGCATAAATGACAAATCAACATTACTATAGGAAATTACTGTAAGAAACAGTCAATTCCTGATGTACTTATTTCCGAATTTTTATGGTTCCTCATTCCGAAATAGCCTCTGGCTTGTCAGCAGAAGCCTCTCAGACAAGCTTCTCTAAAGACAGGGAAATGTCTCTCTCTCAATGTGCTACAATGGAGTCAGAATTACATTAAAAGCCACAGATCTTCAAGATAATTGTTACTCTTCTGAACTCCACTTCCACCTCTGCCATTCCAATGCCACCCAGAAAATACTTCTTAGCCCTTTTCAATTTCCTTTGGCACAAACAGGGGACTCGTGCAAACCTATGAAGACCCAAAGAGTGAGATGGTATCAAGATCTGCCTGGTCCTAATACCCACACAGATTGCATAAAATCAAACTTTAATGTTCCCTTCTTTTCAAGATAAATCCATTCAATCATTTTACTCTAGTTACAATCAATCTGGTCTACGGCAGACTTAATCACTTAAAGCAGTAAATAAAGTTAAGATTTTTTTAAATGCTGCAGCTGACACACTATGCATGGAACTCATAGGTAGGTACCAGGATCCAGACACCCACATTATGTTCACCCTCTGCCAATGTCCTGGTGGGAGGGAGGTAAAAAGTTGTAATTATGTTTTCAAGTAAAAGATCTCACTTACTAGAACCTTTTAAAAATATCTAAGTCCCATTTATATTGCCAATATGTTAATTTAAAACCACTTTTATCTATTCACTAAATCACCATATCCTGGAAATATATTCTGGCCTAGTTTAAAAGTTGTAGAATCAAAATCCTTAAGATATCCCTACAACTTAAAACTTTTTTTAAAGCTAACTAATCATGGATTTTCCCTACATTGTTAGTATGATTGGTGAGATCTTTCTGAATTTCACTGAAAATTAGAATGTATATGGCATAAACGCAAATTAAGTTCACCAAGTCAAACAAAATACTAAAGATAAAGGTTACAGAATTGTAATATGCTAGAGAAAACAGCAAGGAGCCAAGGTGAAAGATTTGGTAGGAATTCCATCAATACTCTGCCAATTGTGGGGCAAGGTAGATATGTATTAAACTGTATTTTATTCTTTAGGTCTTCGCAGTACAAAGGAAGAAACATTATGAAACTTGACATTGTAATTTTTTTCGGAAGCAATAAAGAACTGGTCTCACTTTCAGGTCAGCCTCAGCCAAATCTTAAGGGCTACAAGTCACCCAGAGCCTGGCAACAGTAACTTTTCTTCCTTGACCCATGAAGGCAGAGTGCCAGAGGGAAATAGCAAAGAGTAGCACTATATAAACAGGGCAAGTGGCACAAGAGCAGAGGCAAGTTATATAACCAAAATATACTTTAAAATATGTTCATAACTCATAACAACCTTTGCCTTTGGTTGGTTTCTTGTTTGCAGTATCAGTTGAAACAGTTAATTCAATATTATCGGGATCGCCTCCTTCCTCTTCAATAGCCTACATTAGAAAGAGAAGTTAATATGCTACACAGTCTATCTAAACTTATTTTATAAAAACGAAAAAAAAACAAAAACCTCAAGCCTCAAGACATTAGAATTGCCAGTCATTTCATAAACCGACTTCAAAAACAGCAATTAAACTACACGACTGAGAGGCACTTTCAGGGGGAATATGATTAGGTATCAATCTCACATGGAGTTTTAAATACTACCGACTCGAAATAATTATCATCATACTGAACAAAAGTCTAAATATTCTCGAATGCAGAAAAGTTGCTTGCTACGATAGCAAATAACTAAAGGGAGCTTTCCTGACTTCTGTAATGCAAACTTATTTCTCCTCCGCTACAATTCCAACGCTCACTCAAATAAACCGGAAAGATAATCAGGGATGAAAAAGCAGATTATTGAGCTGATGCAAAAACTGAAATTCCAGCGGAAAACAAACCCTTTCTCTATCCCACCCATCAACTTCCACTACCAATCCCCTCCCCAAGATGGGGAGGAAACGGTTGGGCTCAATTAAACGGTAACTTCGCAGAAGTCACCAAAGTAACCAGTTCCCTCCGAGGTCAAGAAATGCACGCGCTCACCATCGCGACAGGCTGGGTGGGGACCGAGCGCCTCCCGGGTCTCCACGATCGCCCTTGGGAGGCCGCGCCGGCCGACCGCAGCCCTCGCAGCCTGGCGGGGACGTCCCGGAGGAGACAGG